GGTGTGTGTGGAGCGGGTGTGGATGGGGGGGGGGGTGTAGATGGGGTGTGTGTGGAGCGGGTGTAGATGGGAGTGTGTTGGAGCGGTGTAATGGGGTGTGTGTGGAGCGGGTGTAGATGGGGTGTGTGTGGAGCGGGTGTAGATGGGGTGTGTGTGGAGCGGGTGTGGATGGGGGGGGGGGTGTAGATGGGGTGTGTGTGGAGCGGTGTAGATGGGGAGTTGTGTGGAGCGGGTGTAGATGGGTGTGTGTGGAGCGGGTGTAGATGGGGTGTGTGTGGAGCGGTGTAGATGGGGTGTGTGTGGAGCGGTGTAGATGGGGTGTGTGTGGAGCGGGTGTAGATGGGGTGTGTGTGGAGCGGGTGTAGATGGAGGGGGGGGTGGGCGGGTGTAGATCGGGTGTGTGTGTGTGTGGAGCGGGTGTAGATGGAGGGGGGGTGGGTGGAGAGGGTGTAGATGGGGTGGGGGGTGGAGCGGAGGGTGTGGATGGAAGGGGGTGGGGGCCAGCGGGTGTGGATGGAGGGGGGTGGGGGCAGCGGGTGTGGATGGAGGGGGGGGGGGAAGCGGATGTAGATGGGAAGGGGTTCGAGCAGGTATGGATGGAGGGGGGGGGGCGGGTATGGATGCGAGGGAGAGCGGATGGTTGGTGGGAATGAGAGAAAGGTGGAGGATGGATTTAAGAGAAAAGAATGGAGTAGAGCGGTGGACGGGCGCTGAAATGGAAGGAGGCAAATTGGATATAAAAACAGGGGAAAAAGGGAAAGGGAGAAGGAAGAATGGAGAAGGAGAACATGAAGGAAGGAAGAAGGTAAAAGAAAGGTAAGGAGTGAGGAAGATGAAGCAGATAGAAGAGAAAGAGAAGAAGGAAGGATGGCGAAAAATGAAACTGAAGAGGTAATAAATTGGAGGAGAGGAGGCGGAGTAGTAGGAGAAAATGAAAAGAGGTGATAAAGAGTACGAAACCAGAGGAGAGAAAGAGAGAAGGAAAACGTTGGACCCAGAATGTGGGGAATGAAGGAGAGTTGAGAAGAGAGCGAGGTGAGCGGCCGTGAAGCTAAGAGTGAAATATGGCGAGGAAAACCGTAAGAGTTGGAAACACTTCTCCTGCTCTGGCACAAATTTGTCTTCCTTTGAGAGAGAGAGTGAGTGAGTGAGAGGGGAAGAGAGAGAGAGAGAGAGAGAGAAGAGAGAGAGAGAGAGAGAGAGAGAGAGAGAGAGAGAGAGAGAGAGAGAGAGAGAGAGAGAGAGAGGTTGAGTGAGGGAGTCACAAAAAGAGAGAGTGAGAGTAAGGGAGGGAGCCACAGAAAGACAAAGAAAGAGAGAGAGAGAGAGTCACAGAAAGAGAGAGAGAGAGAGAGAGAGAGAGAGAGAGAGAGAGGGAGTCACAGAAAGAAAAGAAAGAGAGAAATTCACAGTCAGCTTCAAACAGGAAAATACTACCCTCCTCATATCATTGCGTATGTGTAATTATTTATCCTATTTTCAAATTTGCGTATTTAGAGTCAGACGTAAATTCCATAATGATTTCGTCCTCATATTAATGGCACCTGTTCTAGCAACAATGTGCATTTCCGTTTAGATCTTTTACCTTGCACGAGTATCTGTTATTTTAAATGGCGGCACGGATGATGATAAATCAGGCTAATTATGTAATCACGTTAATAGCATAGTTACGTTATCTACAAACAGCTATCTTGCACTTGACAGTTTAATCTTCCATTAAACACATCAATTTTTACAGATTTTTTTTTAACATGAAATATTCCCGCAGCTAAATATTCTGTTTTTCTATTGGGTATTTTCCACCGTTTTAATTATTGGTAGAATGTCCTCTCTTTTTGAAATAGGTTTCTTAATTTCAAAATCAGCATGTTTTTAAGCCAGCAAGCCCCCCCACCCACCACCCCCGTGGTCCCTATAACTTCACTTTTTATAACAGTCGTCCCATTTTCGAACCAAACTTCCAAATTACACCATCAAACTACCCCATTCAACGACCATTAATCCTTTCTATAAGTATGTATAATTTTCTTCTGCAAGGAAGGGCCTCATTCCCTTAATCATATAATTAGGTGTAATAACCACATTCATGATGACGACATCCAGTAGTACCTATCAAATATCTTTCTTTCTACAATAATCCTTCATTTTCATCAGAATGCTAATCTCTCCATCGAACCCAATTTTCTATAATCTATAATCGTCATTTACTTTATTCTTGCGTTTTTATACTTTAATCTCCTTTTTTTATCCGTTTTCTAAAACTTACAGTTTTCCTAGTCTTCCTAATTTTCATTTTCCCGGTTTTCTTTAATATTCCCGTTCTCTAAAACGTACACAGTTTCCATAATGTTCAATATATATTTTTTTTTTTCTGTTTTCCCCTTTTTCTATAATCTTCCCATTTCCCAAACACAGTTTCCATGATCTTCCCGTTATTTATATCTTCCCATTTTCAATTTTCTCGTTTTCTATAACATTCCCGCTTTCTCTCCCGCGCAGA